TATATGAGCTTAGCTAGTAGTCCTTGGTGTCCGGGTTAAGAAGCAATCGGGTTGTCAAGGAATGGCCAGAAGGCATGTTTCTCTGTACAAAAGGGAGTTTTAACTTTTTACTTTGGAAGAAAGAAAATTATTCCCATCTCTTCTTCAAAAATCATCTTGCTCTGTTTCTTGAGATGTCAAAAACCAATCCCTGCAGGAAGTCCCTCGCTGCTGCTTGTTAAACAAAAGGGCCGGTTACATGAGGGGACCGTTTCTCACTTATGGTTTGGATTGCCAATTGATCCAGAAACAGAACACAGAGCCAGTGGTAACGGGTTCATCTGCAAGTCGCTGGGGGAGTGAACATCCACCTCTCATTTCTGAAAGACCCTCTGGCTGTGGTTCATCAGCATCTTCTTGGGGGAGGAGGTGCCCCGAGAGAGAACCCTTTACTCTGTGTACCAAGAGCTGGCCCGGGTCTTCCTGGATCTGCAGGGCATCTCAGTACAGCTGTGCAGAGAAATGCAGCAAGGCACTGTCTCTAGCACGGAGACAACAGACCTGAATTCCTGAGGGCGACCACTGAGACAGCCACAAACAGTCTCATGAATACAAATAAGCATCCTCCTGCTCCAGCATCAGGCAAAAATTCCACTTCCTTGACCCATCCGGGGGTTTTATCAGCCGCGTTCTGTTGTTTTTAGTAGGCTGGACTATTTTAAATGTAACCGGCATATCTCCCATTTGGAGTATATGCCCGCGGAAAGCCAGGGTAGAGTAAGATATTTCCCTCCACGCAGTCTTAGAAATTGAATATTATATCTCTAAGCAGAAGTACAGAGAAGAGAAGCCCAACCCAGAGTGGCTGGTAAGAAAGGAACAGAAGAGGAGAGGAACAGAGGAGAGTGGAGAAAAAATATATAGCTCCATAAAAACATTTTTAAAAAAAAATAACAGGAACAGAAATAATAATCTTCAGGCTTGGGTCTGGCTCTCTGGTATAGCTGGGAGGCAGGTGATCCCATCTCCACAAAAGCACAAGAAGAACCAACTCACTGGCTGAAGCTCTGCGACCAGTCACTGATGCTGCCTTGTGGTATCATACAGGCATGCTCACAATAGTAATTGAACTCACCGTAGCTCACTCTCCCCAGAAACACATGCGCTCCGAACTTTGGAAAATCAGAATTTCCCTGAGAACCAGCAGACCGTGCTTTATTTCTGCCAAAACAGCGGGTCTAGAGAGCTGGTACGTTGTGGTTATGCTAATACTTCAGATCACTAGCAAATCTTTTCCCCAAACGATGTCACCTGTCTGCACTGGGGGCTCTAAGGAAAATTAGTGTATTTTGCGCTTTAATAAGCAGTAAATTCTTCCCATCTAGTTCAAGTAGCTTTAAGCCACTTTGAATGGGGAAGCTGTAAGCAGTCTGGGTGGAGAAGAGCCCAGGAAGCAAACTCAGGTTCCCAGACGCTCAGGAGACCTGCGTCCTGGGAAACCCGCTGCACTCAAATCAGAGGCCGGGAGCAGGTGGGTTTCAGGTCTTTCTGGCCTTCCTAGTCTCTGGATCAGGCACTCAGTAATGGCCCAACAGATTTATTCTGTTAGATTCTGTTAGAGTCTGGTTCTGAGCCAAGCATATGGCACCCACTTGGAATCTCGGCCCTTGGGAGACTGAGGAAGAACAATGACAAGGTGAGTATAGGTTACAGAACAAGAGTCTGTCTCAAAAAGGAAGACAGACAACATTAGTAAGAAGGAAGGGAGAAAGGGAGGGAGGGAGGGAGGGAGGGAGGGAGGGAGGGAGGGAGGGAGGGAGG